AAATTACATATTCTGACTCAACATTGAATGGACGTTCACATACAATCAAAAAATCCCGATTGCCAGTTAGCCAATTCTGTATTGTATTATGACAGTGTTCTTTATCCTGTATATTTTTTAAGATTAAATAATTTTTAATAGTAATGTTAATTATACATATATATATATTTAAAAATATAAGTCAATAGCCTGGTCATTGGCAAACAATTGGCCAAAATCGACTCGTTTCAGCAGATGATGAATATGCCAATTATGGTCCCGTTTTTCTTGATCAGCGGTTTTCTACAATCTTACGGATATATAAAGCGGTCGAATGCGGACAAGCGTCGGCTATTAATTACTTCATACCCGTCGGAAATATCGTCAACCGCTTCGTACGCCTCACCCCATCAATAGCAGCAGCCATTGGTGTCGCCATTTTGTTAACTGTAATGGCGTCTGGACCTAAATGGTATTCGTTTGCAGATTTAGTCGAAAACACTTGTAATTCAAATTGGTGGATTACCATATTTAGTTTAAACTGTAAAATTACTGAAAGGGTAATTAATTAGTAGTGAAATACTATTTAGATATGTTGTTTTCTATATCTGTAGCATTATGTTGACTACTATAATATTTCTATTTTTCATAGTGTTTACAATCAACCTGGTCACTTGTATTGGACTGGCAATTCTTTCTGATATCACCACTTCTTATCAAACTTTTCCTATCTAAGAGCTCAAGGTATTTTAAATAAAATATTTTAATAAATAGACATGTATTAAATATATTAATGTTATCTATCAATATAATGTATAATATATTTTACAGAATTCAATTTCTTGGAGTTTTGGTTAATTTGATTGCAATTATAACATGTTGCTTACTCATTGGCACAACAATTGTGCAATACAATATTCCATTTATTACAATTAGACACAAGTATCAAATTAAATTTACTAAATATATATAGCATTATTTAAATCAATATGAATTATTTTATATAGGGGAAATTTATTTCGGAACTTGATATTTGTTAAGCCATTTACACATTTACCATTTTATTGTGTCGGGATTCTATTTGCTTATGTCTACTGTAAATATCGTCAATATCTTGATATAAAATCGGTATAAAACTAATTTAGCAATATAAATAATTTTAAATATATTGACTAATTTTAAATTTATCTATCAGAAATTAAATTCACTACTGTTTAAACTCATGGTGTCGACGTTAATAATAATCTTATTAATTAACATCTGTTATATTAACGGGATGCCCAATGACAATTTGGTCAGTGTCCTATACGTTTCAACTTATAGCACATTTTACGCGATATGTTTGGGTTACATTATTTTAGCATGTGCATCAGGTGGGACACCGATGTTAAATAAAATCTTGTCAGCATCAATTTGGCATCCACTAAGCAAATTATCGTACCAGGCATTTTTATATCAATTTATATTGATCCATTATCCGGTATTAACTATACGTCAAAACACTTATGCATCGCCAATGTCCCTTGTAAGTATATTTTATAATGTACATCATTTATAAAATATTATATACAATGTAATTTAGTAATATAAAGATTAATCTTTTAAATGTAAATTTAATTTTTATTTAGATTTCGGATTTCATGTTTACGATTACTATGGTATACATTACAGCGTATTTCACGTATGTCTTGATTGAAATGCCATTTATTGGGTTATATCGACGATTTGGTCGCAAGATTAATTAAATGACATTATTATTAATTGGGTGTTTGTTCTATGAATTAAAATTAATATATTATGTAGTAACACAGAATTAAACTGATTTTATATTATTATTATCAATAAAAATTCGTTTTAATTAAATATTTAAAATAAGTTTGAAACTTAAATTTTATTTTTATTTAGTTTACGCTCAAACACTAATATTTTTACTAGCGAAATAAAATTTATTTCAATTATATTTATTGAAATAAAATATCAAACCTTTTCTATGTTAATATTAAAGCTAAAATCATTAATTAAACTATAAATTAATAAAATTTGATTTTTTTAATTAAATCCTTTTTGCATTTTAATTAATTTTCCAAACTTAATTGGTACAAATTACTAGTTAATAAAATCTACTAGTTAGTTAATCTACCATAGTAGAAACCTGAATCAAAATTGATTAATCAATGCCCGCCGCCATCGGATGCCAACCTACTGGCCGTAAGGTATGTACACTCGTCTGACGCCATAAATAGTATGGCGTTTGCGATATCAATCGGTTCCCCCACCCGTCTCAATGGTATCGATTGGATCGATTTTTGTTGAATAGCCTCATACTGTTCCCGCGATAAACCAGCAGCCAGGCCAAAATTAGATCGCACAACACCCGGGCTAAAATAGGTTAACATTATAATATTTCAAATCAACATTGATAGTTGAATAATATGGATATTTTTAAAATAATTTTTGCTATACTATTACTTACCTAATTATGTTTACACGGATACCCATGGGTGCTAACTCTAATGCCATACACTTAGTTAACATATCCATGGCCCTTTTAGATACGGCGTACATTGGCGACTTTGCTACCTTGTTAATTTAATAAGCACTCATATAATAATGAAAAGTGACATGATAATTTATTAAATTCTATACATACGGGTCGAGTGGCCACGAGAGACGATATGTTAATTATATTACCCCTAGTCTTAGCCAAATGGTCGACCGATAAGTGAGACAAATATAGGGCTGACCTTAGGTTTGTGTCCATAAAATACTCATATTTCTGAATAATATTAGCGTTGTTTATGGATGTCATGCCCCCACTGCCGGCGTTATTGACCAATATATCTAACTTTCCAAACGCCTCGACCGTGGTTTCAATGAGTCGTTTGCAGTCATTAGGTTTACTGATGTCCGCCACCACCTGTAAAGGTGTCGACCCCTTAGGCGATACATTGTGACACTGTTCGGCTACCGCTGCCAACGCCTGACCATTACGTCCGGTGATCACCACTCGAGCGCCGCGTTTAGCAAATTCTACGACAGCTTCGGCTCCGATGCCCGAACTCGAGCCCGTGATTAACACTACCTTTCCCTCGAAATCATGATTTTTAAACATTGTTCTAATTATTCAATTTTTAAATATTATTAAACTACTTTATATTTTAAATAACATACTACTGAATTATTTAAAAGCATTATTTATGATAGCCCACGCAAAAAGTATTTCAGACTAGACGAGGTCATTTAGGCTAATGATAATGCACTTTTTTATATAAAATGCATTGTAATTACATTTAGTACTTAGGTGCTGTGTATTAATACAGTATATTATATTCTAATACCTTTATATTGTATATTGAATATTAACCAGTAAGTTATACAAATAATCAGTATAGACTTAATAAAAACTTAAAAACCTACCAAGGGAAATAATGCAAACTTCAGAGCTTTTTGTGGGTAAAGTAGTGCTGATAACTGGCTCCACCTCTGGTATTGGTGCCGGTGCTGTCATTGAGTTTGCTAGACATGGGGCTCAAGTGGTGATCACCGGTCGAAATATTGCAAACATGTCTAAAATATCTTCCCATTGCACTAAGATAAGTGATCAGGGTCTTAAACCTTTGGAAATTGAGGCAGATATAAGTAAACTTGGTGATTGTAAAGAGGTAGTTTCTAAGACAATTGCCAAGTTTGGTAGGTTGGACATTTTGGTAAACAACGTGGGTCGTAGCATAAGATGTCCCATAACTAACCCCGACATTTTGGACACCTATCAACAAGTCATGGATCTTAATCTAAGATCAGCCTTATATGTGACACATTTGGCTATTGATTATTTGGCAAAGACACAAGGTTGCATTATTAATATATCTAGCACAGGTAGCCTAAGACCGGTAAGATATAATAATTTTTAAATATTATAATTAAGAATGAAAAAATATTGGGTGTATTTATATGTATTTATGTGTACGTACTGAATGAAAGGAAATTGTATTAATAGTTTACAAGTAATCTATTAGTAATAATTTTTGTTTATAACAATCTCAACAAGTGAATTTAATTTATTTTATTTTATAAAAATATTTATTATTAATGATTCTAAATTAGTACATGCTTAGTAAATAATAAGACACATACTGTAGTTTTAGATAAAATATTTAAGTTTATTGTTCAGAGATTGTTATGCCTTACAGAAAGTCTATCATGTTAAATGAATCAGATATTAGTATATAAAATTAAAATGAATTTTCATTGCATTAATAAATATTCTGACAAAAGTTATTATTTTTAAAAATTACTAATAATTTAAAATATTTGAGGGGCCATTTATTTAATGGATACCCACTTTTCCTAATTATAATTTATCCTTTGTAATTCTGAATAATTGTTATTATATTATAGCAAGGTGAAACATTCCTGTATAGAATGTCCAAAAATGCCCTGGATATGTTTACAAAGTGTTTGTCAATGGAGGTTGCACCATTTGGAATTCGCGTTAACGCTATTAAGTATATAATATAGATTTATATAAATTTATATACTAAATTAAATTAAAATTTTTATTATTCAGTCCTGGTATTGTTCGTACTAATCTCCTTGATAATCTTGGTTTCAACCAAAAACAAAAGGATCAAGCTTACATAAACTTTGCAAAGAAAATACCATTGGGCCGGGTTGGTGAACCCAATGACCTTGCTAATGCTATAATATATTTGGCATCTAATGAAGCATCTCATGTAACAGGTGCAATCCTTGTAATTGCTGGTGGTCCAGGATAACTTTTACTTAACATCTAAACATAAGAAAAATTTAAGTGTCAGAATAATATATAGTTATAATTTTGATAAAACTTGTCAAGCGTAGTTATAATTTTAATCAAAAGTTATAGTTTTACATAAACTATAGTAACAATTTTTTGTATTTAATCAAGGCTATAAACAAAACAAAATTTTATTTTCATTTATTCATACTCTATGAATAAACATATGTTATTTTTAATTGTATAATTGTCCACCGTCACATAATAGACTTGATCCATTTATAAATATTGAATCATCACTGGCTAAAAATAGTATACATCTAGCCATGTCAATCGGATAACCTACCCGTCCCAACGGTATTCTCGAAAGTAATTGCTTTGAAATTATATCACCTTGGTCTCTCACCGTGCCTTGGCTATTCAACGAAAATAAAATATTTTATTTTAGCTTAATATTTAGATAAATATCTAATAATGACCTACTTGATTGAATTAATTCTAATCCCATTGTTTGCTAATTCAAGACTTACACATTTCACAAACATATCCAGGGCACATTTCGACATATTAAACATGGTCCCCCCAATACGCTAAATATATGAAAATCGGTAAAACATTTAGTTAAAAATTCTGTAGTTTTATACCAAAGAGTCTTTTCAACTCTGCTTTTATATGTCTGTTTTACAGTCACATGAAAGCAAAGTTAAGTGACTTCATTGATATAATGCTAATTATGTAGATTTTATACTAACCGGCCGTAAACTAGCAAACCCTGAGAGTAGGATAATATTACCGCCGGTTTTAGCTAAATGTTGGGCACATAAATGGGTTAACAGTACGACTGAACGCATGTTTGTGTCCATAATGTGATGATATTTTGTGATAATATTTTCGTCACTAATGTTTGCATTTGACCATAAATTAGCGCAATTTACAAAATGGTTTAATTTCTTAAACTTGTTTATTGTCGACTCAAGTAGTTTGCGACATTCATCCGGGTCAGTCAAATCGGCCACAAATATATGTGGTGTTAACTCTTATATCATATTAAAACAAATTGGATTAGGCTATTAAAATTATATATAATAATTATGTTTATGTATAATATTATGTAAATCATGTCTGTCAATGCAAAATTGTAATAGATGTTAATGATTGACTTTACCTAAAGGGGAAACATCTCTACACATTTGAGCCACCTGGGTGATTGTACTGAAATTTTGCCCGGTAATCACCAATTGAGCCCCTTTTCGGCTGAATTCGATCGCTGTTTGCGAACCTATTCTACCGCTCGCACCGGTAATCAACACCACTTTATCAGCAAATTCTGTAACAGATATCATGTTCAATAAATAAATATTAAAAATATTTTCAAAATTGCGTAATAATTATGTTTAACACTTGAATTTTCTATGATTGTCTTAATAAGCATTAATCAGAATCCCGATAGCAACAGGTTAGTTTTAAATAATATTTTTTCTCAAATTAGTATACAGTATAAGATGACTTGCTTTAGACAAAATTGAGTCTAGACACAAATAAAAAATTATTAAAATAAACAATTTATATGCAATTATTTGCAAACTAATTCACGATAAAAGTAAAAAATTTAAATATTACCAATTATAAAATACATATAGAAATATATTTTTAAAAACATATCTGATGTATATTTAATAAATAGATATTGGTTTGTCCATTTAATTTATATTCAGAAAATGGACATTACTCAAACTATACGAGGCCAATTATATCCAAAGCAACTAAATACTGGTCATGTCAAATACGCCTTGGACTACCAGCCCCGTGAGTGCGACCGTATTTTGATGGCGTACCCCAAATGTGGCACCAATTGGTGCCGGTATACCATATTAGCGATTATGGGTTTCGGTCACATTCCGGATCATTTAAAATCAAGCAATAGGCAGACATTTTTAGAGACACTGGGCTCCCGTGTGTTGGCGCCTCGGGAGGGTCTGGATTTAGAAACCAACTTTTTTCACACCCACACCCGACAACTATTGTCCCATAAATCGGAGGCCAAGTATTTAATAGTATTGCGAAATCCAAAAGACGTTTCCGTTTCTCTCTATTACTACACGAAAAGTAACTATAGATTGGAAATGGATTTTCACGAGTTCTTTAAGATATGGATCGCCGGTAATGGTATGCCTTATGGCGACTACTTTGAAGCCATGCGAACCTATTGGGAGCACCGGGAGGACAGCAACTGTACTGTCATTAAATATGAAGAGATGTTAGCGAATCCGAGGGACAGTATTGTGAGAATCGCCTCATTCTTGGGACACAAATATGTGGACCGACTGTACGACCGGTGCGATGGCGATGACGGCACCGGTAGTAGTGGTGACACATTATTGGATCGCATCATACGAATGATTGGTTTCAATGAAATGAAGTTTACTATGCATTCAATGCCCACTGTTTTCAGGACAGGTATGGCCGGCGACTGGAAATTACATTTAACTAGAGATGAGAGCGATTTGATTGACCACAAGGTTAGGGAGGAGTGGATTGGAACGGGATTAGAGTCACTGTGGGAACGGGAGATACAGTGGTCACCGAATGTCTAGGCCTAAAGTTAATTAATGTTAAATGTATTAATTTATTTAAGTTTAATTTTTTTATCAAATTAGTTTAATTATATTAGATAATAATTTGTTAATAGGTCAGTTGATAATTGAACATTTTTATATTTAAATTTTCCAAAGCCTTAATTTAACAATGTTATTCACTGATTAAATAATGTAGTTGTTATTATTTTCCATATGTAGAAATATTATTTTACATGTAACCATATTTTTACCTATAGAAAATAATGTATTTCTAAATATTCTAAACATATTTTAATAAAATAATCTATTATTCTAGATGAGCTACATTAAATCTCTTATTATTTTATACAGTTTATTAACATATGGTAAAATTTAAAAAGGCTTATTTTTAAATTGTTTCTCTAAGTAGCAAATATAATACAAACAAATAGAGATAACAATGGCATTACGTGAAAATATAATTCACTATTATTTAATTGCATTATATATTTATATAAATTACATTCTAATTTTATATTCGGTACAAACCGGTAATTATTTTTATACCTTGTAAATAATACGTATTATTATTTCTAATTATGGATATAAATTAATTTGTAAACCATTACAGGTACAATTCTTGGAGATATTCCAATTAATTACACAGGTAAGGTTTTTAATTAAACTAATTTAAAATATTACTTTATTACTGTAATACGTTCACTTAGAAATATATCATAATATAATATTAATCATATTATGTTCATTGAATAATAAACTAAACTAAAAAACCAAACATTT